AAAACTTCTTTCTACAGATTCCATAGTAATAGGAATAGTTAATAAAATTATGTATACAATAACCGCATTAGGACAATCAAACAATTTAAAATCTTTCAAAATTTAAATGGTCCTATTTTTCATGTCTATATAACTCTTTTCTTAGTTTACCCCTAATGCAGATTTCATCTTGATTCTCTTACATAGGGGCTTTGAAGTATCAATACGAAATTTGATCCTTATGAACGCAATCCAGGATCCATCAAAATTTGAAACATCCGCCTTAACAAACTCCCCCAGAAATTCCTTTCCACGATTGCTTGATGCCATTAGATAAACAAGGTGGATTAAGAGTCGTAGAAATTAAAGACTTGGCAAATCCCCAAGAAATTTTGATAAGTGTTGGGACAGCTTATCATGCAAAAACCAAATAGCAGAATGTGAGCAAAAGCTAAAACATCTGGAACATAAGGAAGAAAAGAGACCCCACCCCGGCCTAACATAGCATCTGGGAGGATGCCATAAATGTGGTGGCAAATTATATCATGCACCGCGCGTCTTTTTTTTTTTTTTTTTTTTTTTTTTTTTTTAAATGAAAATAAACAGTGTTTGTTTTCCGTCGTTTCGCACCCTTTTGCAAAAAGTAACCCTATTCTTCAGTGTCATTTTGTATACACTGCAGTGTCAGTTCAACACAACTACAGTTTCATTTTTATATAACTATAGTTTCATTCGATATTTATAGATTCAAATATGTGAAAATGTTATTTAATTTTATTTTATATACACTATAGTTTCATTAAAACACAATTACATGATCATTTTGATGTAATTACAGCTTCATTGTACAATATACACTCAAATATGTGAAATGTTATTCAGTTTCATTTTATATACACTGCAGTTTCATTTCACTATAACTACAGTATCATTTTGATATAACTGCAGTGTTGGTTTAGATATACTGTAGTGTCAGTTGATGTTTAATACACCAAACAAGCGGACTCCGTTAACTATAACGACGGGCCGTTTCTTTACTTAAAGAAATGACGCCGTTTTTTACCGCGGTGCATGTGCACCGCGGTCTATGATATAACGACTGAAATGTGGTTGGTGGCTTGAAACATTAATGATCATAAATGACACTAACACACAACATAAAAGAAGGAGATTTGAGGCTTGTAAAGATACAAGGAGGGACTTGTTAACCAGAACAAGAGGAAGAAGCATTTTTGAATTTTACAATCTATACATATACAAAAATAAAATGTTCTCCCAAAAAGAGAAAGTAGCATTTTCCCTCCTAAAACCACTTTCCAAAACTGGAAAGTATGGTATAATAATAATAATGTTATTTTGATAAAACATGGCTTTCAAAAAAAAAAAAAACGAAAGATAAAGCATTTAATTTAAATTTAAATTAAAAAACAAAATGCATGGTGCATCTTTAATAACCATTTTGGGCGGCAGCTAGGCCTATTCCAACTCCCATGATGGCAGAGGCAATATAATGATAAGAAAAAAGCTTGGCATGGGCAATATTGCATGATATAATGGGTATGCCGCTTCTAAAAGACAGACCCCTATACGGTCTTATTCACAAGTTGTATCCTAGCTCAATGCGATGGTGGGTGAGAGTATGTTGTGCGTGTGTAAATATGGAAGATGGATCCCATCTAAACAACTGTAGAGCTTTCTCCTAAAATTTGGTAGGATGTATGTTGTCCTAGCTTACTGGATGTGTAGTCGCATTAAGAATATGTTTGTATTCATTGTAGTTTGTGTTTTTTTTTTTTTTTTTTTTTTTTTGGTATAGCCAGGTTTCCACGACGAAGTGATTAATTTCCTTACTGGATTGTAGGCACATTTTTAAGTCGAACAATTGGCTTGAAGATTTAAAATTGCTCTATTTTTTCAAAAACCCTTGACTTTTAGTTAAGGATGAAAGAGCTTTTCCACTCAACCAAGCCCCAAGTTTATATGCTTGTCTCTATGTTTATGTAAATTTCTCTTTTTTTTTTTTTTTTTTTTGGGATCTTTTAGAACTTTTCCCTTTGTGAATTTAAAATGGTTCTAAACTTCTCATCTCTACGACTCTATCTTTTCTTTTAAAACTGGCAAATTATATCGTGCACCGCGGTGCATAATCAATTATGCATCGAACTTCAAAACGATATCGTTTTGTTTAATGAAAGAAACAACACCCTTTTCTTGCCGTTCCGCAACAAGTAATTTAGAAGTTTATATGTGTCTCTATGTGTATGTAAATTTCCCTTTTTTTTTTTGGGTGGGGGGAGGGGGGGTCTTTTAGAAGTTTTCCCTTTGGGAATTTAAAATGGTTCTAATTTCTAAACTTCCAATCGTTATACCTTGCACCACGGCGCACATAGCACTGTGCGCCTCGCACCTCCCAAAACGACGTTATTTTGGTAAATTATGTAGGCAATTGACGTGATTATGCGTATTTGTTTATACAATTATGTGTATTTGTTTTTATAATTATGTATATTTTTTATACAATCATTTACATGTTTTTTATACAATTATGTGCATCCGAAACAGGAAATTTATGTGTATTATGTTAAGAGTTGATGTTTATTATATTAAAAGTTTATGTATATTATGTATTATGTTAGATTATATGTATTATCTTTAAAAAAAAAGTATGTGTATTTTGTTATACAATTATGAACATTCATGTATACAATTATGTGTATTTTAGTATAAAATTATGTACATTTTTGAATATGAGATTTTTTTTTAAAGAAAATTAACCGCCAAAACAGAATAGCGAAATTTCAAAAAATAAAATAAAATCTAAAACGACGTCATTTTGCATCAGGACGCACAATGCAATGCGCGCCCTGGTGCAGGATATAAATTGCCCTAAACTTCTCATCTCTATGACTCTATCCTTGCTTTTAAAACTCAATCGTTATGCCATGGAACCGTGTTCACCATTCATGGTGAACACGGTTCCAACGATGTTAGTACACCGTTTTTTTTTTTTTTTTTTTTATAATTAATTGCGTGACTTTTCTTCTTCATTTTCACATTTCGCGGTTTCACTTTAATTTGAGGTGAGCAATGATTTCGGATATTCATAAATTATGAATTCATGCCTGCACATTCACTTTCGAACCATGCCTACACATTCCCGTCCGAAATCACGGACATTCATAAATTATGAATCCATGCCTGCACATTCACTTTGGAACCATGCCTACACATTCACTTTGGAACCATGAGATTATGAATTTTCTGTTATAAGATTATGAATTTTCAGTTATGAGATTATGAATTTTCTGTTATGAGATTATGAATTTTCTGTTATGAAATTATGAATTTTCTGTTATGAGATTATGAATCTACATTACATTCATAATCTCATAACAGAAAATTCATAATTTAATAAATATTTTACTTTTATGCGATTATGAATTTTCTGTTATGAGATTATGAATTTACATTACATTCATAATCTCATAACAGAAAATTCATAATTTGATCAAACGCGCGCCGTTAACTCCATATCCGCGAATTATTATTATTATTATTTTTTTTTTTGCGTAAAAACGATGTCGTTTGGACTTGTGTTCACCATTCACGGTGAACACGTTTCCAGGGCATAATTTGCGTTTAAAACTTTATTGGGTCATGTTTTATGGGCCTGTGTTTGATTTTGTTGGCCGAGGTTTGTTTTTCTCAATAGTTATGTCATGGACTCGGATCCATCTTGTAAAGTGGATCTAAGTCAAAACACATAATTTATATACTGAATATTCACAATTTATATACTAAATGTTCAAAGTTTGAATTGTGAACATTCAGTATGTAAATTGTGAACATTCAGTATATAATAATTGAACATTTGGTATGTAATTAATTGTGAACATATAGTATATAAAGAAAAGTACTTGAACTACTTTCAAAACTTACTTCCAACTTTTACTTTCGAGTTAATACCATCTGAGGTCCTCCGAGTATAGTGGTTTTACCACATTTAGTCCTAAACTTTCAAATTGACCATATGTGGTCCTTCGACTTTCAAATTTAACCATTCATGGTCCAAGTTAACCACTCATGGTCCTTCAACTATTAAATTTTAACCAACCATGGTCCTTTCAAGAGGATCACAACTGGTTAAGTTTTGAAACTTGAAGGACCATGTGTGGTTAACTTGGACCACAAATGGTTAAATTTGAAAGCCGAAGGACCACAGATGGTCAATTTGAAAGTTTAGGACTAAACGTGGCAAAATCACTATACTCGGAGGACCTCAAACGGTATTAACTCTTTTACTTTCACTTGTGTTCAAATTTGATTAGAGGAAGAAAAAAATGAATAAATAAACATCATGGCCCCCTACTAAATTGAGCAATCAAAACATGTCAAATCATAAGGAGTACATACAGAATTACTCATATATAAATTGTGTATTTTTAGATCCGGGTCCACCTTGCAAGGTGGACCCGGGTCCACAGAATAATTTGCCTGTTTTTCTTTCTGCGTCTTTTTTTTTTTTTTTTTTTTTTTTCTTTTTAACAAATTTTTCTGAAAGTTTTTGTCATCCTTTTATTTTTATGGCAGAAGGTTCAAATGGACCCATGTACTAACATTGATTATTCATCTAGCATCATGAATTAAAATATGGTCCATCTAGACCATTATATTCTCAATTATTTTTCATTTAGCATTTTTAGCAAATTTCTAACAAGTAACCCATCTAATTTGCTTACATGGAAAAATAAAATAAAAACAAAATGTTGACATGTAATTTTTTTTCATCTAACTTGCTGTTTTTGTCACTATTTTATGTAGAAAAATTCATATTTTTATATGTATTTTCAGATTATGTCGATTTTTTATATGGCTTGAAAGATTCCAACTCCTCATCTGTTGCGAGTGTTGAGTGTGAAAACACGTAGGGGTATTCTAAGCAGAATGCATCCATGCTGTTGTTACCATAAATTTGTCCTGCAAGATGTATATTTTTGTCGTGGAGGGGGTACCTCATCGCCTTAAAAAACATAACCGCTTCCCTCGGGGACATATGACAGTCTCTTTTCTTCGTTGTCTATCTCTTTCTCTTTCCAGTGCTGCACATTATACCTCATAACGCGAAGTTCCTTAGTTGTTACTTCAGTCAGATTGTAGCTGCAGCCAGTAAATGCAAGCATGTTCTTTTCGTATCTACACTCAAAGGTAGTAGGTTAATTAAGTTACATCTCAAATATTAAATCAAAAGCCGTGTTAGTTATTTATACCTCAAATGAAGAGAAATATAGAGATCAACATTGTCGACTGTAGGATGTAGAGTGAAGGAGGGCCAAGCCGGTTTCAACGACATACTTGTGTTGTCGCTCTGTGGCACCATTATGCTCAGGAGTGTGTGGTGGGGTGGTGAAATGAGAAATACCATGAGTGTTCAGGAATGGTATAAGTTTTATAAATTCCCCCCCCCCCCCATCATTATCTGAGTAAATAGAAATAATCGGAAAGTCAAAAATTTTTTCCACTAATTGTTTGAACTGAGTAAATATTGTCAAAACATCTGACTTACGCTTCATGGAGTACAACCAAATGTATTTCGAAAAGTGGTATACAAACATTATATAATAGTAAAATTCATCAATAGACTTTTTAGTAGGCCCCCATACATCGATATAGATTAATTGTAGAGGTTTAGTGCTAACAAGGGTATTTTTACGAAGGGAAATTTATGGATTTTATGAACATTGCAAGAGGAGCAGTAAAATTGTCGCAGAGACGACAAAGAGACTGGAACATTACAGCGCTGCAAAACCAGTTGCAACACCTTATTGGACAGATAGTCAAGCTGGTGCTACTAAGACAGGGAGGACAACTGCGTAACATGTATTGTTCACTCCCCACAGTAGAGGAATCCCCGTTCGAAGATCCTTGACAATAAAATGAGAATAAAAAAATTCAATAGACACGCGATTAGTCTTGCATAGTTGGGATATGGAAACTAAGTGAGTATGCAACTGAGGAACATGCAGGACATTTTCTAAGGCAATGACAGAAGATGGAGTAGGAATGACAGATTGGCCAATATGAGATAATTGTAGGGAATTACCGTCACCTAGGCAAATTTAAACAGGTCCATTGTACTCCGAGTGCGTCTGTAGGGACGTGACACTAGGTGTGGCGTGATGTGACGCACTGCTGTCAAACAGCCAGGGTGGAGATGCCTACGCGGAATGAGCTGTAAGCGACGTAGACGTCTGCGTGGTGATAATGTTATGTTCCTTTAGAAACCTGGCTAGCTTGCGACACACCCTCATTTCATGACTTGCAAAGTTACAAAACTTGCATATAACAGTAGGCCAATTCGACCGGTTGGCTTCGTAATGATTAGGATTGTTACGGGCCTTCCGGTTGGAGTTCGACTGATGGTTGTTCCGAGGGAACGAAGTCCGCTGAGTGACATTAGCCGACACCAACAATGACTGGCATGTATCATCTGTGTCCTTCAACTGACGTTTATGGTCAGTTAGGACGACTGCTAACTCACCCAACGAGATGGGTGTTTCACAAACGCGGACCACAGAAATAATAGAGTTGTACTCCTCTCCAAGCTGGGTCAGTATGTATACGATCAAATCTTCATCAAACACAGGACACTGAGCCAAGGCAAGATCATCAACTATGGCTCGCATGTCATTGAGGTATTTTTGGTGAGTTTTGCCTGGAAGGAAATGATACCGTTCTCGTGAAGCACTAGCATAACTAGCAACAAGGCGTTGCCATGCATCATGGGCCGTTTTAGCCAACGAGATGAGTGGCTGGATTGTATCCGTACAACTTCCCAGAAGTGCACTAACAATAATTTGGTCTTGACGGTACCAAATTGAATTGTTTGGGTTGGGGACGGTCTGAGCAGGGTCCGAGAATTTGGATGGTTCCTTGGTGGAACCGTCAACATAGCTTAGTAGGTTGAGACCAACAAGAGTAGCATGAACTTGTCGGCGCCAAACTGGGAAATTGGTGGTAGTAAGTATAATGTGGAAGTGTGTGGGAGCATTTAGTTGAATTACCTCATTGGTATTGGCAGTGGTAGGAGAAGCCATCAGCTAGAAAGGGGGAAAAAGTTCTTTCGTAGGAGATTAAGGCTCTTGATACCATGTAGAGTTTATGAACTTGATGATTTATTGATATAAACCCAAACAGGTATAAATAGTATTTAGAAGAGAAAAACTAGCAAGAAATTACAACAACTAATCTAACATATACAACTATTCAACAGGAGTTAAACTGTAACAAAGAGAGATGGAATATGTCAGCCACATATGTCCTTAATAGTATAAAGCGAGTTTGTAGCCCAAGGGTTCACGCAGAGACCTAGAATCAAATATACTCTCCCATAATGGATGTCATTAAGTTTCGCTACATAATTGACAAAATAATAATAAATTTAGATATGAAGTTGATTAAATTCATTACCATAAAATTATGAGTCATTAGACACTATTGTTTATTTGGGAAAATCGTTGATGGATTTACAATTCTCAGAATGAAAGAAAATAAATATCATAACATGATTGTTGTTAAAGTCCAACGGCTTTACATAGCTTGAAATAGTAAGCAATTGACTGAGTAATTTTCTCCTGAAGTAAGAAAATGTAGAAATGAATATGTTCCATTATGTGCTTATTAAAAGTTGCTAATGTAATTATTTATTTATTATCTCAATCTGTGTTGGTGTTATGAACATCATTGAAATACATAAAGAGCTTAATGATATTAGCTCATGTCTAAAGACGGAGTTTGGAAATAAAAGACTTGGAAATCCAAGTATTATCTCGACATGTAGATCGAGTATTTCCTTGAAAGGAATTTTATACACCAGTCAGTCTATTTTGAAAAATATCTTTGACGCATTTTATATGGATAAGTACCATTGACTTATCATATTAACAGTTGTCCAATAATCTCTTGGAGTAGATAAATGACTATTTAGACCTGAAGAAGATAATGAGGACATTTTGAGATTGGAATTCCATTACTTCATTGCTATTGGAGCTCTATTATAGAACTAGAAATTCCATAATCGCATCAAGACTGATATTGTCCTTACGATGAAATTACTAATAACACCTAGTGTTCCTCCTAAAATGAAATATTGGAATAATATTCAAACATCCTCCAGTATCTTAGATTTATGAAATATTTTAAAATTTATGCGATAAACCATTGTGTGATTTTCATAGGCCACTTGAATATTGACTCTTTTATTTGATCCCATGATACCAAATTCCAAACTAGTTATGTTTTGCTTTATCCCCATTGTCCTATGCGAGGACAATAATGCTCGTGTTATACAAATAATAAGTGAGTATTTTAAAGAATATTAGACAAAATATATAATGTCAATATTGAACCCATGTAAGCTCCAGAAGAGTCACGAGATTATTGTATAAAATGATTAACTCTAGTGACAATCTTGAAGATTGTACCATATCATTTTTCTACACTCTTTTGAAACAATGGTTTTATTTTAGAATATGTAGACCTTAGAGATTGTTATCTTCAAGGGGAGTGACATTTACAATTCTGAAAATTGGACTTAAATAATCCTAAAAATTGGGTCTTAAAGACTAGCAGTTGTACTCTTTTGCAACACATGAATGCATACATATTATGTACTTTTTTCCTCACTAGATTTTCCCATTGGTTTTTTTAGTGTGGTTTTTAACGAGGCATGTGTATGATATAGTAATGTCGATGGAGAAAGTTGCAAATAAATACTTAAATAGACAAAATCATGAAGATTATGCCCTAAAGGCTTATGATTGTACTCTTTTTCCCTTAACAAAGTTTGTTCCCACAAGGTTTTCTTAGGATAAGGTTTTTAATGAGGCAACTCAAACAAACACATGAATTACCCATATATCGTGTACTCTTTTCTCGACTAGGTTTTTCCCACAGGAATTTTCTAGCGAATTTTTAACGAGAGATGATTATGGTAAGATAATGTTCAAAGGGGAGTTTTTAACGAGACATGATTATGGTAAGATAATGTCCAAATGAGGAGTGTTATAAATATTATGGGGGAGTGTTATAAATATTATTAAAGTGTGGACATTATGATTGGATTATGTAATGGTTGTAACGATCCTCGTATTGTTTGTATTTTGTCAGACCACGATGTGTCTTAAGCAGCGCAATGTACTATTTTTTTTTGTCAGACCACGATGTGTCCTGGCCCGTACCATACTCAGATTAATCCCCGTTCGCACCGGGCCGGTCCAATTAAGGGGAAAAGTTCCTAAGCAGGCCCTACCATACTCAGACTAATCCTCGTTCACACCGGGACCTAAATTAGATATATGCGTTGCAATGTACTATTTTTTTTTTGTAAGACTACGATGTGTCCTGGCCCGTACCATACTCAGTATGTGTTTGAGTACATTGGTTTATGAATTCTGAGTATGTGTTGACTTTAGCATTGAACCATGTCATGGTGTTGGGTTTGTTTAGGTGCCGGGCCCTTGAGGCTCAGCCCAATGTCGGGTTCATTTCGGTCCGTGACTCGTGGGCCCGTGAGGCTCGGAGACATGGGACCGTGATGACATGCTTGCATGCAATGTGCCTAGTTGATTTATGTGTAAAATGCACTTTTCCAAATCAAGCATGATTTATTATTTCTTCGTGAGTGTTTCTCAAGTACTTGTGATTATGAAGGTTGTGTAAGGGTTGGTTTGGCATTAAAGCATGAATTGATTTGTTTAAGTGCCCAAGTTGTATCATTACACATCATTTCTCATATGGTGACCATGTCTGATGACTATGTGTATTCTATGCCTATGAATTGTTGTGATGAACCCGGTTGAGAATTTCCGGAAGGTTACTTAAGATCCGGTTGAGAATTCCCGGAAGTGTGTGTTAAAGTGTTGTGATAAATCTGGTTGAGAATTCCCGGAAGGCTACTTGAGTTGTGTTATGATAAATTCGGTTGAGAATTCCCGGAGGATTTCTTGAGACATGTTGTGATGAGATCCGGTTGAGAATTCCCGAAAGTGGGTAATAAAGTGTTATGATAAATTCGGTTGAGAATTTCCGGAGAGTTTCTTGAGATATGTTATGAGATCCGGTTGAGAATTCCCGGAAGGTTACTTAAAAAGAGTGTATGATATTGATTACATGCCACTTGATTTCCAATTATATGCATAATTTGATATTTTACCTCCTTGCTTAGTTTTGATTACTCTTGATGGCATGCATGTCACTTTACCTACTCCTTGATCTATTAAGTCAAACTTGATTTATATCTTGTTAATGTGTAATACGTATGTATATTTGAGTATGAGTTGCGTAAGTGCTTGAATATGGATTATATTTGCATGTGGGTTTATTGCCTATAGATAAGCATTATTATTGTATATGTATTTATATATACACATGCAGGGACGGAGCCAAAGGGGGGGCGGCTGCCCCCCTCACCCCACCCCCACCCCCTATATAATTTTTGTATGTATATATAGTACAGGTTTTAGTATTAGTATAAAAACAACTATTAAATCTAAATGAGAATGAGTAGATTAGTTGGTAGAGCATATGTTTGGCAATTGTAAAGGTTAAGGGTTCAAATCCTTACATTAACATATTATTTTTACAATGTTTTCCATAGCTTTTTAATATTTAATACACACACATTATATATAATATTCTTTTATATTAATAATGAGATGTGTAATTTATAATGTGTTTTCTATTCAAATTATTTTATCAAATTTATTTATTTATTTTAAATTATCTCTATTGTTTTAATGTTTCGCCTTCATTGGAAAAAATTTCTGACTTCATCCCTACTTCTTTGCCCCCCTCACCTGAATTTCTGGCTCCGTCCCTGTACACATGTGAATCTAGTTGCCTTATATCTATGATCTTGATTGGCTTAACGTGTTATAAGTGTAAAGCAAACCATTTTCCAAATATATGCCTTATATCTATGATCTTGACTGGCTTAACGTGTTATTATAAGTGTAAAGCAAACAATTTTTCAAATCTATATCTATATTTATATTTACAGGGTTGAGTGACTTTATACTTAACATTTTTATGCTAACCGGTTTATTTGCTCTAGAGCTTAGTAGATGCTATTTTTATGCTAACGGGTATATTTGCTCTAGAGCTTAGTAGATGCTAGACTTAGTTAAGTACTGATGTATTGAGCTCATGACTCTAGATTGTAGAAGTTTAGCATGTGCAGTTACTCGAGGGTGAGTATAGAAAAGGGGGACTCTAGATTGTAGAAGTTTAGCCTGTGCAGTTACTCGAGGGTGAGTATAGAAAAGGGGGACTCTAGATTGTAGAAGTTTAGCCTGTGCAGTTACTCGAGGGTGAGTATAGAAAAGGGGGACTCTAGATTGTAGAAGTTTAGCCTGTGCAGTTACTCGAGGGTGAGTGTATAAAATTATTTCCACATGAGAGGGGGTTCAAACTCCCGACCTCTTTTAAGGGATAAGAGTGCACGGCCACTCACGTCAACCAAGCTGGTTTCGTTGTAATGTAGTGTTAAGTTGTTGAAATAATAAGATTGTTATATATGGTTACACTTTGTCTCTACAATTCTAGTATTCCCTTCTTCCTTTTCTTTGTATTGATTTTGTTATGAATACCATCCGTTTTTTGGGGATGACTACGGGCTAAAGGAAATAATTACAACATATTTTTAATAATAAATCAAAACCAAATTATTCAGTTCAATTTCGTTTAGACTCGATTTGATTCAGATAACTCGAAGCAAAATGCCTACCCCTACTAATTACAATAATGATTCATTTTTCATTTTTACTCTTATAAATAAACACATACGGAGTACCTGTTTTATTAAACATAGTTTTGGAATTATTTTGGATAGGATATTTAAACAAAAAGTACCCTAAATACTCATTTCGATTAAGTTAAACGAAACGATATGATGGTTGCATGAAGCAGGACTAAAGAAGAAGAAGATACAGGCAGGCATCGCTTATTTTAAGCTAATAAAGGCCACGGTTGATAGTTTCCAAGAAACGCTGCTCCGATTCCTGTCTCTGCAACCTCAATTCATGATTCACCTTTCGGATGAAATCATCGAACCGCTTGTTCATCTCCTCCGGGCTCCGCAGTAGGTCCCGGGCCAGGCCGCCTCTCCGACACGCCGACACCGCGTCATTGAACGTCACCGATTTTCTCAGCTCTTTCCACGACGTCGCCGCCGCCGCTGATGGACGCAAAGGTTCGGGGGCAGTCGTGTCTTGCCCTGTCGTTGGCGGCGGCCTCGGCCATGTCTCGCACTTCTTGAGTTTGCTGCTCTGTTTCTCCTCTCCTCCTCCTCCGCCGCTGATTGCCTCCCATGTCGCCTCAATTGTGTCCTCCTCCTCCTCGTTGATTTCAGGATTTTGATGCTCTTTTACGTCAACCCCTCCTCCACCCATTGTATCTTCATCATCTTCCAAGAAAATGGGATCTTTTTTGTTAGTGTCCATTGTGATTCGTGACTGTTTGGTAAAGTTATCAGCCCCATTTAAAAAAGAGATTTAGAATGAAAATGGATTATTCACAATATCAATTATAGTTCGACCGAGCTCTTAAGGATCAAGTCCAACCGGGTTGATATAGTGCCAAATTCCTGCACCTTGAAAATTATGTTTTCATTATTAGGTCGTAGTGGTAAGCACTTAGTCCCAGCAAGAGTAATTCTGGTGCTGGGAGAGGATTGATTCTGCTGAAAATTATAGAATTTCTATCCACATGAAAAGATCTTAAATCAAGTGGAAAGTAAAAAGTGGTCGGAAATAGCAATAAAAGTTTTTCCAGATACCAAAAGTGATCGGAACAAGGCTTTCAACTAAATTTAAGATCAATTTCAGGTGGTCAGAAATTCCATAATTTCCAGCAGTAGTGTGATGGCAGAGACCGATAAAGGCCAAGTCCAGCATCATGTAACTAGAGAAATTGTTGGGCAGAAGTAGAAGAAGGCCAGTCCAGCACCTAGCTTTTGAAAATGTATGGAAATATAAAGAAATAAAATTGTGTCTTCACTACTTATTATAGTTTTTGATATTTTTATCCTAAAATAGTTACTATAATTATAATTTTTTGACATAGTAATAAGTGTTTTATCCTAACATAACTACTATAATTATAGTTTTTGATATATTAATAAGCGATTGATCCTAGCATAGTTAACGAGGCTTACCAAATGGGAGTGTTCCTGCGGGAGACAGAGGCGGCGGCGGAGCGTTGACGGCAGGAATATCGGTGGCGGCGTCGTAAGAGAAAAGGTAGTGGTGATAGGGTTGGGTTTTCCGGTGATGAAATTTGGAGGAGGATAGTAAGATGAGGAGGACGATGGAGTTGATGAAGAGACAGATGAAAAAGGGAGAAGACAAGAATGAGAGCCTGAGGTCCCTCAAGTTGCAGAAGAGGGAGTGAAGGAAGCCAAAAGGGTTGTTGTTGGTTGAATCTTTAAGAATGAGAAGAGTGGAGATTAGTCCAGTGGGGAGGAGGAGAATCTCCATGGCCAGTATTGCAGCTTGGGCTACTTTAATTTGCATTATATTTCTTCTCACAGATAGATTCTCATCATCTCATCTCTACTAACATGTATGGGAGATCAGATCAGATCAGAGTATGTAATTGAGAAGATGAGTGTGTGATATGATGATGAATTGGAGGCTAGGAGATCAAAAGGTAGTCCTATTTGATTAGATTTTTTGTGCTTTAATGGAAATAGGAAAATCAAGACAATAAGAAAGATAACATTTTGAGGAAAAGGGGAAACTCTAGGTTGGAGACACAATTCTTAATTGAAACACTTCCATTATATATGCTAGACCAGTAGACCCACTGCCCAACACACACCGTACAGTGCCTCCTTGACCCAGATCATGTTGGTTGTACCAGGCCTGCTCTATTTTTAACTCACAAAATACTATATGTATTCTAATTTTTTATATTTAATTTTTACTGTCACGCACAAAATTTTGATGTAGACACTTGTATTGGAATTCACATAAAAAAAATAATTTATCATTAATGCCCCGAGTACAATTTTGAGAATAAGATTTGAGAGTCCATATAGTAGAACTTTTTTTACTCAGTTAACATCAAATGCTTTGCTCCATTTATTTACTCAGGTTAACGTCATATTTTTGCTTAAAACATGTCCTCTTTGTTAAGCCCGTCACAAATCACATATGTTCATATTGAAGTTTATTTCGCCTATATAATTTATGCACTATTACACATGAGCAGGGGCGGAGCTATCGTGGAGGCAGCTGCCCCCACTAACCCCACCCCACCCCTAGCCCTTATATATATATATATATATATATATATATATATATATATATATATATATATATATATATATATATATATATATATATAATTACATTCATGTTAAAACAGGGCTTAAAATACAAACGTGTGGACATTTCTGGATCGTTCGATTTTGGATATCTAAGGTTGTGATTTGTTTTTATGATTTTGTGTGGTGCCCGCCTGTGTGCATAGTCGTTCATGGACGTGTGCACGTCGGCCCAAATATTTTGGATTCACACATGCATACTATATTGGATGTGTGCACACCCACATTTAGGTGTGTGCATGATATATGTCCACATGTTTTTATTTTAAGGGTGTTTGCATGTGAATGCAACTATATATATATATATATATATATATATATATATATATATATATATATATGTATGTATGTATGTATATATATATTGCATGTATTAGATATAAATATAAGAAAATAGCTAAAATAAACAATAGAAATGTTGGTTGAGTTGGTAGATGCATGTTTAACCTCTTAAAAGGTTAGGGGTTTAACCCCTTATTGCTGTTTTCGACTTTCAACTGCTTCTTTATGATTTTTTAATATATATATATATATATATATATATATATATATATATATATATATATATATATATATAAATTTTTTTTTTATATTCATAATGAGATGTATAATTTATAATGTGTTTTCTATTTGAATTATTTTATCAAAATAATTACTATTAACAATTGTCCTAATTGCTAATTGTTGAGTTATGTGAATTACTAATATGTTAGTTACTAATAATTACTAACTGTGTATTATCCCTAGTTAATTACTAATTTGCCGTATGTTGAAATGATTGTTTAGTGCTGTATGTTGAAAAATATATTTTTGATCAAGTTTCAAATGAAGCAGTTCTACAACAATTTCAAAATATGAGAGAGCATAGAGGAGTATTATCCCGTAGTTTATCATAAATCTTGTAGTGCAATTTATAATTTATTTTGTCTTTTACCAATCTTATTTGTATTTGAACATTTTTAAATTTATTTTCCTTTTGCTTCTTCGCCCCCACTGAAGAAAAATCTTGGCTCCGTCACTGCACATGAGTCATCAAGTAGTGACGGTATATTTCCCTTGTCAACTATTTTATTACAAGTTCAACTATGGGGACCCCCAAATTCTAGTCCATCAATTATACTCCATGATGTAGCAAGCATGAATATGACATTTTCATCTTGTGGGTTCAGAAAAAATTGTATATGCCTCCCAAATACTCTGTGGAGTCGGGGTGTGGGGGGCCCTTAGGGTTGGGGATTCAACATTTTGGGAGAAGAAGAAAAAATTGTATACATCCATGATTTGTGAGAGTGAGTAAAAGTTGAGAGTAAAATTTGAGGGTACAAGTAGTATTCTCCTCTCTTCTTTTTTTTTTTTTTTTCTTTTTTTCTTTTCCTACTAAAAGTACACTACTCATTTCCCTTTTTCAATTTGTACAAAAACATGAGTTAATAAGATATTGACACTTTAAATATTCAATGGTAATTATGGAGTATATGAAAAGTATATTGAGTGAAAACAAAATTTATTATTATTATTAGATGTTAATTTGGTTCAATATAATTAATTTTAATTTATAACCATATAATATCTTTAAATTAAATAAAATATATACCCAAATACGATCTATAATGGTTAGATGAAAAGAAAAAAAAATGATTAAAATCGAGTTTCATTTTAGAACTATCAATCAATAGGTCCGTTTGACTCGTGAAAAATATTTGAAGAGGAATGGAATTGATATTTCATTTAAAATAAATTACTAAAAAAATTAATTACATTGTTTGATTGGTGGAAAAGAAATTATTGAAAATATTGATTCTATTGTTTAGTTGGGTTTAGAATTATAAGGAATAATGAGTATAAAGATCAATATATCCCTACACAACAACAACAACAACAACAACAACAACAACAACAACAAGTCAACAACTATAATAATAATGATAATAATAATAATAATAATAATAATAATAATACTAATAATATAATAATGATGATAATAATAATAATACTAATAATAATAATACTAATAATACTAATAATAATAATAATAATAATAATAATAATAACAATAATAATAATAATAATAATAACAATAACAACAATAACAACAATAACAATAATAACAACAATAATAATAATAATAATAATAATAATAATAATAATAATAATAATAATATTATAATAATAATAATAATAATAATAATAATAATAATAATAATAATAATAATAAATCAAGGGTAACAAAGAAATTAAAGTTCTATGAGGACACAATTCTCATATTAATTTTTTATGGAAAACAAAGTAACAAGGGTGAGTTAAGGAAAACTTTTTCTTCATTCTTGAGAAAAATATTTTTTGTAAAAAAAGTTTTCCAAAGACTAAGTAGAAGAAAATTCATTTTTTTAAAAAATTTTAAATAACACTTTTTCTTTGAAAAAAAAAAGAAAAAAGAAAAAATTTTATCCAACAAAACACCCCTTAAAATTGAATTGAGTAAAATGAAATCATACATCACTTAGTAATATATAGTTGGTTAAAGCATGCTCATCATGACAGTATCTAGTGTCTAGTGTCATAGACTCAATAAATGGTGAGGTAACTTAGCTTCTCACTCACTCTATGTTTCTATCAACTTTTAGACTACATCCATTGCATTATGTATTTGATTCATTACAGAAAAAGCAAAAGTTTAACATATTTATTTTCGTATATACTGCTTGAGAGATTTTCGAAGAAGTATTGATCGAAAAGAAAATTGGATTTTTTAAAATAAATAAATAAATAAATAATATATATATATATATATATATATATATATATATATATATATATATATATATATATATATATATATATATATATATATATTAAAATATGACATTTTTAATAAAAGCATGTATGTATATCAATGTAATTATGTTCCTGACAAATGGCATATATTGTAATTATGGTGGCCCCAGCCGTGGGGAACGTTGTTGACGATGTGCGGGGATTTGTTCCCCGTGATTCTTTTTTCTCGGTATTGATGTTTTGACCTCCCGTTGTTAATTTATTGGGTTATTTGTGAGTCTTCTTGATGTTTCGTATGTCTAGAACGGTGTTTTAGGAATCCATGTAGGATTTGGTGTCTTGGAATCATGCTAAGGGTCCAATTTCGTGATTCATTGGGCTAACGTGATCTTGAATGTTCTTTGGAATTACTTTTGGTTTACCCGTTGTTGAGCATGCTAGTTTGATGTTGTTATGCTAGTATGTGTGGTTTGTTCCTTCCTATTGGGGTTGGCAATTTGTGTTGTCAATCACTTGGTGTTGGATTGTATCCTTCGTTGTTGAGTAATGTCTCATGTCCTTGTTGTGATCTCTTGATTGATCCATATGGTGTGATCATGTATAAATCGTTGTACCCTTTTGTTGAAAACGTGATTGGGGCCATTGATGGGCCTTAGTCTTCTTGATGATAATGATGACTATGTGTGACTATGAATGAGATTGGTGGTGTGCGACTTGAGCTTTGCTCACATGATCGGTGGTGTGTATATGATATTTAATGGTACCCTCGTGTACTGAGAGTTCGGCGGTGAATGATTGGCAGTGTAGTGGGGGGGGGGGGGTGGGGGGGGGTGACGGTCCCCGGCGGTATAAGGTTGGACTCAGAATTATAGGGTGACAATAAGAGGTAACGGTTGGAACTGTGATAAAGCCAGGAGTAGCCATAAGGTTGGAACAGAGCATAAGGTTGGAACTATGAAACTTGTGACATGAAGTTGTCATTGTGTGAATATGAATTCCTTGCTTATGAGCATGTCTTTATGTACTCTACCTTGTGATGAGTAGGTTACATCCTGAGTTGTGTTATCCATTATGTTTGCGGTCTTGTTGTTGTTGTGAGGTTGATGATCCTCGTGTTTGTTGAGAGTGTGGTGGTCTTTGATGTTGACTTCCCTTCCTTGGTTTTGAAATGATATATATTGTATTCCCCGTTTCAAATGACTTTGATTATATCTATCTATATTATGTTATTTAACGCGTATTGATGGTTTACCAGCATTATTCGCTGATCGGGTGTTATCCCTTGATTTTACAGGTTTTGAATAGATGCCGAGCGCGCTAGATGTGGACTCTAGATAGTATAGATCCAATGCTAGACGTTTATCTTTTTGTTGGCCTGTGTGCCTAGATTAGTGGCCTGTGTGCCTAGACTTGTGGCTTGTGTGTAACACCCCCGATTTTCACGACATTTTAAAACTTAAATTCATAAGGCAAGGTAACTAACAGGTATCATAAAACGTAAACAACAGCGGAAGTCTTAAATTAAAAACGGGAAAAGCGGGAAGTGCTATGCCACATCCACCTCAAGTGGATGCACAGGCTAGTCTAACAAACGTACTATCCATGTTCAAACAACCCAAGGCACACAGGCCCAAAACACTA